AGCTTGGTAAGTAGCACCAACACACAGTAGCTTAGGACCATCACTAATCCCCTAACATATGAAAGGGCAACCTCAACACGGTAAAGGCATCAACGTGCGATGTGGGAAAGAGTGTGATATGAGAGATGGGGCTGCGGAGGCCTGGCCACCCCAGCCCTAGTTCATGAGCTGACCCACTTACCTCATGTGAGCCTGGTGGCCCAGATTGAAAGCTCCAGGGCTTTTCGGCCCTGCCATTTGACTTAGACGTGTTGACTTGACCGGAATTCATGTGGGTTTTAATTTGAGAGCTGGTGTTTCCTCCCAAATCACAGGGACGTCAGATTCCCATCTCCCTCGGTAGCACCTCACCCTTGCCCTGGTCTCATTTTGTATATCCGGGCTGAGGAAGGACTGGATTTCCCACCTAATTAAAGGAGATTGTATTGCCTGATGTTTCCTTTCGTGTTCATTTTCCCCCTGCACACAAGCAGTTTTTTATTCTCGTGCTAAGTCCTATCCCCGGACACCGGCAGTTTAAGAGACAGGCAGGAGCTGGGTTCCTATCAGGCGGAGCCAGGCACCCCATCACCTCTTTCACCATGAGCCGATTTTCCCTTCGGTCCTCACCCCACTGCAGCCCCATCAGTGTTGTGCTTGCTCACAGAACACAGTCATTCAGAATACATGACCACTCTCGGTGGTAGGGTTCCTTGCGTGTTTCTAGTGAATACCATCTCAGGCTGACTCTATATTTTTACTCTAGTGGAAAGGAGGCCGGTTATTATTTTTAAACACACAGAGAACCATTTTTATCACTCTTTTCATTTTATCTCATCAGTTCTATGTTCACACCACCGTGGGGGTATTTTTTGGGTGAGGTGGCGTCCCCAAATATACATAATCTTTGTAAAGTTGTATGGTTTTGTAGAGTTGAGGGAGTGGTTGGTGTTTTCTTTCTTTTTTTTTTTCTTTCTTTCTTTTTTTTTTTTTTGAATAGCCCAAATGCCTATTCAGTGCCAATCTAGGAAAGAATGGAGTTAGCATTTTCACACCATTCCTTCCTATACAGTCCCTGAATAACCATCTAATCAAGATTTGTTTTCAATGGGGAACAAATCTTCTACAGTAGAGTATTTCAGATTTATTCCATTGGAATCTATACATTAATGCCCATTGGATGAAAGGAACTGCTTCACAAAAGCCTGGACATTGCCTTGCTGTGGCAGAAACCTTTTTCCCACTGTATTAGTGTTAAATATAAAAGAAAGCCTGGGAAAGAATTGCTTCAGCATTGTGTGAGGGAGGAACCAGGCACGCCTGAATGGAGAGGCAGGGTCCCCCATCGCATCTGAACCCGTATCAGCAAAGCCCATTCAGCCTTTCATGGCTGCTCGCTGCAGTGTGGGACCAGTGTACTCAGGGAGATGTTTAAAAATTGTGTCTATAAAAATCCAACTAGGCTTGCCGGGTCAGGTTGTACATGTGTGCAGGTTTGAGTTTGTCTCTGTGGTTTTTAATGGAGTTGGTGACATTACTGCAGTAATCATAATTCAGACCATTTCACAATTTTTTGTGGTTATCTCTATAGGGTTACCTGATTGTTTAGATAGACTCAGCCAGTTCAGTCAAACAAGCACTTTGAATTTTTCTCATGAGATTGTGGTGTGTGCGTGTGTGTATGAGTGTGTGTAGTATGTGGACACCTTTTGCTTGACCATTTCCCTCTCTAAAGCAACCTCTATCATCACTTTCAGTGTTTTTATCTTTTCTTGTATGTCCTGAGGATTAGGATGGCCTTAGATCTTTAGGCAATCTGAGTTTCATTCTTCAGCAATCCAGTGTTACGGAGTGAAAAAAAAAAAAAAAAAGGCATCCAGGGGTGTGGGTTCTAATCCCAACCCTGCCTCTTACTAGCTGTGTAAAACTTAGGGTAAGTCACTTAAACACTTTGATAGCCTCAACCTTTTCTTACATCAAATAATAATAATAGGACTTGTCCTAAGAACATATAGGATGCTTTTAAGGAAAGACTAAGATGTTGTATGTGCAAGAGTTTTGTACACTGTGAAATGCTACATGGATAGTATTAGGATACTTGTAGAGTTTCTTCCCAGAGTTATCATAAGGAAGACAACTCTTCATAAATGACAAATCTAGTGATATTGCTGTGACTGGTGCTAAGAGCAAATATGTGTTTAAAGAGTGTTTTCACCTGTGTGGAAAAAAGTTACTTAATAAATCCATCCTCCTCAGAGATAGTGATTTTATCAGACTCATCCACTTTTAGTGCTTACTGTTTTACTTAAATAAAAAAAAACTTTAGTGATAGTAAAACCATATCTGAAAACTCTACATTTTAGTGCCAGGACACGATGTTTTCTCTCTTGCATTGTTCCATTTGTAAACTTAAAAAAAAAAAAAAAAAGATGTCTTTACGTTAGATTTACTAAGACTATGTTGACGTCCCAAGGCCTAGAAATATGAACACCATGCTAATTCAAGGGTAGGTGTAGAAGCAGCTGGAGAACATACTGAACAGACTTTTTCATAGAGCTTTACAGTGGACTTATGGACACCCAAGGGCCAGACTTCATTTAGGGCAAAGCATGCAATACAATGAAGCAGGTAAGAGTGAAAACTCTAGAGCCAGACCACTGAGTTCAAATGCCGGCTCTACCACCCATTGCCTATGAGGCCTTGAGCGAGTTTCTTAATTTGTACGGCCTCAGTTTCCTCATTTTAAATGGGGATAATAATACTACCTACGTGGGGCTCCTGCGTGGCTCAGTCGGTTAAGCATCTGCCTTGGGCTCAGGTCATGATCCCAGGGTCCTGGGATCGAGCCCTAGGTTGGGCTCCCTGCTTAGTGGGGAGCCTGCTTCTTCCTCTCCCTCTGCCACTCCCCCTGCTAGTGCACTCTCTCTCTCTCTCTCTCTGTGCCAAATAAATAAGTAAAATCTTTAAAATTATAATAATACCTATGTGATAAGAGTTGCTATGATGATTAAATGAAATAATCTGGTAATACATAGTAAGCATTAAAAAAAGGAATGTTTGCTCTTGTTGTTATAGTGCTCTCTGTGCATGGGGCACTCAGCAAGGACTTAGAATTTGGACTGCTGACTGATGTCCTGAATGTCTTCCTGGGTTATTGGGACCTTCCTCTGGGGTTGTACTTTGTATTAACACAGTTAGAGAGGATTCACCATGATTCTTTAATCTGGCAATGACAATTTGTTTTTACAACAGTGAAAAAAGTAGAAACTGGAGCCCAATGCAATATTTTCGGCACATCACAGACCTAATGGAAGTCAGGACAAAAAGGAAATCTCCTATGTAAAAATCAGTGCAAATCCTATGACTGAAAGTGAATATAGAGCCTCTAGGCATGTATTAAGTTAACTGGATATATGTGAGGCCGACTAAATGTAAAGATGGGAACAAAGGAAATAAATGAGTATGTAAAAGGATGCGGTCACACCGACAGAGCTCAGGCAGCATGAGGAGATTGAGTGCAGCGAGGTAGAGCTGGTGGAGCTCAGACTTTCCTGAACCGGTCCTCTCTCCTAAGGCAGAGGAGAAAGAACCTGAGGATGTGGGCATTCCTCCCATCTTCAGGTCATTACCTTTGGGGGCTACTTCTCACAAGACATGGGGATCCTGGTCACAGGCCAGCAATCAGTGCTTGGGCTACCTGGTTGTGAAAGCCCACTTACTTGGCCTCTCTCGAGCTGATTATTCAGTTGTGAAGGCAAGAATGGGGAATATAAATGAAGAATGGTTCGGAGAGAGGGATTCTTCAGAGCCATTTGAGAAGTAAGGTAGAAAAATAGGAAAGCCCTAAGCCTTAGTGTTCTTGCCACCCATTTTAATTCTCAATCTGTGATCCAAATGTAACCGTTATCCCTTGTCTGCAGAGCCCGGGGTATAAGGGTGGCAGTGGGTCAGGCTATGGACAGCCTCCACGTAGCTGACTGCTGTCTTCTCACTGGGAGCCGTTTGATACTTCCCTGTAGCAAGTGCATAGAACACAGTATTGCCTAGGGGGATCACACAGCCCATCCCTGGTTTACTCCTGCTGTCCTCACCTAATTATCAACAGTGCTCCCTTTCACTCTCAGACGTGCCCAGTTTGAACACTAAATGTGATCACCTGGTGTATTATAGTCTCCCAGTTCAGTGCCGCCATCTCCCACCTTTTGAACATTCCTTCCTTGTTAAGCTTCAGGAAATGCAGAAAACGACCCATGTCACATACGACCACTTTAGAAAGTCCTCAGACAGGTCGTTGGAGATGACAAGAGTGTGTAGATACAGAAGGCAGTGGGTGAGCACCCTTTTAGCCAGCAGACAGCATCCTAGAGCCTGTCCCTCAAGTGGAAAACGTGGAGGCAGCTGTTTGGGGGATATCTTAGTCTGGATTGCATTTTCCAAGGGTTTTTGCATACATGGTGTGGATTGAGAAATATACATATAAAGTAATAAATAGGAAAGGAGTTTATTTTTTAAACTATTAATATTGTTGCTATGAATAAAATCAGGAACTCTGAAAAACTGGGGAAAATGTAAGCTTTCCCAAAGGACCTCGGCTTCAACCTGTCTAAAGTAGAGATAGAGCGTTCCAGGAGAACCAGTCTTCCACTTGTTTCTCAGGTCTTATGTGCTGCAGTCGTAGGAAGAGCAGGCAAAAGACCCATCTGTTTATTAGGCTGTCCTACTTCAACTGGCAACCCTGGCTGAAGCTCTAGGGCATTAATAGGGATTCAGTACCCAAAATAGCCGGGGTATTGTTGGAGCCAAATCCAAGACCTCGTTCCCATAGGCCATCATACCCGCAGCCCGATCCCTGTGCAAAGCATGTCCATCTCACCACAGAGCCCGCTGGTGTCTGCAAGGTCGGGGGTGGGGGTGCTTCCAGGAGCCATGAGCGTGACCCACCTGAGACCTGGGTGTTAGGAATGCAGTCAGCTAGCTCTGACCCACACACGCTGTCTTGTGTCTGTCTTGCCACCGTGCAGGTGACATCAGTTGCAAGGGGATGACCGAGCGCATTCACAGCATCAACCTTCACAACTTCAGCAATTCCGTGCTCGAGACCCTCAACGAGCAGCGCAACCGTGGCCACTTCTGTGACGTGACGGTGCGCATCCACGGGAGCATGCTGCGCGCACACCGCTGCGTGCTGGCAGCCGGCAGCCCCTTCTTCCAGGACAAGCTGCTGCTGGGCTACAGCGACATCGAGATCCCGTCCGTGGTGTCGGTGCAGTCGGTGCAAAAGCTCATTGACTTTATGTACAGCGGCGTGCTGCGCGTCTCGCAGTCGGAAGCCCTGCAGATCCTCACGGCCGCCAGCATCCTGCAGATCAAAACAGTCATCGATGAGTGCACGCGCATCGTGTCGCAGAACGTGGGCGATGTGTTCCCGGGGATCCAGGACTCAGGCCAGGACACGCCACGGGGCACCCCCGAGTCAGGCACATCGGGCCAGAGCAGCGACACCGAGTCGGGCTACCTACAGAGCCACCCGCAGCACAGCGTGGACAGGATCTACTCGGCGCTCTACGCATGCTCCATGCAGAACGGCAGCGGGGAGCGCTCCTTCTACAGCGGTGCGGTGGTCAGCCACCATGAGACTGCACTCGGCCTGCCGCGTGACCACCACATGGAAGACCCCAGCTGGATCACGCGCATCCACGAGCGCTCTCAGCAGATGGAGCGCTACCTGTCCACCACCCCCGAAACCACACACTGCCGTAAGCAGCCCCGGCCCGTGCGCATCCAGACCCTGGTGGGCAACATCCACATTAAGCAGGAGATGGAGGACGATTACGACTACTATGGGCAGCAAAGGGTGCAGATCCTGGAGCGCAACGAATCCGAGGAGTGCACGGAAGACACCGACCAAGCGGAGGGCACTGAGAGTGAGCCCAAGGGCGAAAGCTTCGACTCCGGCGTCAGTTCCTCCATAGGCACCGAGCCTGACTCGGTGGAGCAGCAGTTCGGGCCCGGGGCGGCGCGGGATGGCCAGGCCGAACCTGCCCAAGCCGAGCAGGCCACGGAAGCTCCTGCCGAGGGTGGCCCACAGCCGCACCAGCTAGAGACAGGTGCCTCCTCCCCGGAAAGAAGCAACGAGGTGGAGATGGACAACACGGTCATCACTGTCAGCAACAGCTCCGACAAGAGCGTCCTGCAGCAGCCTTCGGTCAACACGTCCATCGGGCAGCCATTGCCAAGTACCCAGCTCTACTTACGCCAGACAGAAACCCTCACCAGCAACTTGAGGATGCCTCTGACCTTGACCAGCAACACACAGGTCATTGGCACAGCCGGCAACACCTACCTGCCGGCCCTCTTCACTACCCAGCCCGCGGGCAGTGGCCCCAAGCCTTTCCTCTTCAGCCTGCCACAGCCCCTGGCAGGCCAGCAGACCCAGTTTGTGACAGTGTCCCAGCCTGGCCTGTCAACCTTTACTGCACAGCTGCCAGCGCCACAGCCCCTGGCCCCAACCGCAGGCCACAGCACAGCCAGTGGGCAGGGCGAAAAAAAGCCTTACGAGTGCACTCTCTGCAACAAGACTTTCACCGCCAAACAGAACTACGTCAAGCACATGTTCGTACACACAGGTGAGTGTGCAGGCCCCTCTGGAGGCCCGGAAGCAGGCCGTGGGTACGAGGGGGCTGTAGGAAGGGAGGGGCAGGACGGCAAGTACAAGGGAAGGTTTGGAGACATCTTCCAGATTTGAAGGAGACCCCACTGCCAGCCATCTTCTAGAAGCCCCAACAATACCCCCATTGTAGGCGTGCAGCATCTGCCACCAAAATACAAAATCACAGAAACCCAGTGGAGAAGGGCCAAATGGGAAAAAGTCTGACAAGGAATTTGCGGGCACAATATCCCTTACATACATGGAACTTTGTAATACGGTCTTTGATTCTAGGTGTTTACAACTGGAAATGTCCTTGGAGAGTATATACTCCAGTCACTTCATTTTACAGACCAAAGTCATAGAGGCAGAACAGGGATGAGAGTTTCAGTCTGTAGTAAGTTCTGTATGAACCATCAGCTTGAAGAGGCCGCAACAAGGCTGATGCAAGCTTATGCTGCATTTGTGGTCCCCGAAATGGAGAAGTGATAGACTCACTCTATTTTCTATTGCTTTTTCTCTTATTTTCAACATCTAGAGACCACAGTCTGGTCTGGGCACTAACCTTTTAAAAAGACAATAGACTGGGACATAGAGAAGTATAATTAGGATGATGAAGGAATGCAAAACCATGGCATATCATGGTTGAAGGTCCGAGGGCTGTTCAACCTGCAAAAAAAAAAGACTCAGAGCATCATATAACATCCAAGTATTTGAGCTTCTGGGGCAGCATATGTAGTAGTTAAGCTGGAGCTCTGGAGCTACGTTGCCCAGGTTTGAAATCAGACTTAGCCACTACTGAACTTTGTCACCTTGAGAAAATAACTTAATCTTTCTACACTTGTTTCCTTGTCTATATAATGGGAATAACAGTAATACATCCTTCTTAGAGTGTCGTTTTCAAGAATAAGTGAATTAATATATGAAACTCTTAAAACAACTCCTGGCGCATCATCAGCACTCTATAAATGGTAGCTAACATTAGCACAGTTAGCTTTATTTAAATGGTTAGGAGAGAAACATTAAGCTTGTTCTGTTTGGCTTCAAAAGGTAGAACTGGACCAATGATTGAAAACTATAAAGGAGATTCTTTCAACTAAATAAAAGAAAAGGTTTGTTAACAGTCTGAGCTGCTCTAAGATGGGGTAGACAGCCTCCAAAGGGACTGAGTTTCTATAATTAGAGGTGTTCCAGGAGAGAGTGGATGATCATTTCATAGGGATGATGTAGAGGGGCCTCGATCATTAGATGAGTAGTGGGGTGTGATGGTGTTTCATCTCTGGATTCTGTGATTCTAGAGCTAAGATCTCCTGATCTCACAGCTAGTGCCCTTTTCCAGCTCAATAACAGGACAGACATAGAAGTGAGTACTTCACAGATGCTCCTCCATATAAGTGACCATACATACGATATGATTTCACATAGATTCTCTCATATCTGAAAATACCTACCCCAGTGATGATCACCGTATTTGAAATTCCTATCATGAGTCCCTCTTCTGGTGTACCTCTGGTTCCAGAACACCCCTGTTAAATGACAAATAAGTTGCCAGAGAAAGTTACATAGTAGAATTACAATACATGAAAACAGATTAGTTCCTCTGAGCAACCTTGTTTCTCAGATCAGCTAGCAGGAATCTAGGGGATAGGACATAAGGCAGATAAATTTAAGTTGGTAAATAGAAAGGAAAGAAAATAACAGACACTGAATCAGTTGTTCTTAAGAATGACAGTTTTCACAACTCCAAATCAACATAGTAACTCACTACTGAATTTAGGAAGAAAATCAGGTAGTGGTAAGTCACTATGTTTATTTAGGGTAAATGTGAATGCATTGATAACCCGAGATCAATCAAGGGCAATTTTCTATGTGGTATGGGTATCATCATTATTTGGTAAATTGATCAAATAGTAATATTTCTAGTTATGTGGCACGTTATGGTTTACAGAGTGCTCTCACTTAGTTTCTCCTTTCTTCTTCTGAATAGTTGTCATATAAACCATCAAATTAAAGATTAGGGAGGAAAAAGAGACCAGTGTCTCTTTTAGCCAAAGTGTCTTGTTAGCCAAAGTTCACTTCACTGGTCTTGGATCCATAAACATTTCTATTCTCCACCCCCTGCCCCCCCGCCACCCCTGTGCATCTCTTCTAGTAGACCTAGTGGAAATAAAATTCACATACTCTATGAGATCACATATTGAAATAAGGCTTTAAATTTGCAACACAAAATTTTCAGGGCACTATCAAAAATTGTCTTTTTGCTATATGAACACATTCATCCAATGGATTCACTAAAGAATTCTGTGGTTAACCCAAATAACTAGATTTGCCCATGAAAAAAACAGCAATGGGTTTGTACATTTAGACATCATAGATACAAAAGCTACAAGTAAAGTCATTTTATAAATCTGAGTTATGCTCAAAGTGTAGCCTTCAGATCTCTAATATACTATGAAGGTTTTGTATAGGTGTGTATAACATGGCCACATCTGGGAACAATGAAGAATACACAGATATCACTTGAGCACCTCATTTAAAAGAAGTGGAAGTCTTCCCATTCACCCTGAATTATTTGGCAGTGGCAATTTGGAAGGGCCATCTGTCTATCAAGACTTTTGTCTAGCTGAAGGAGTCCATAACCTAACAAAGTGAAAGAACAATTGGTCTAGATTTTTCAAAAGGCAAGACAGCCTGAACATATGGAAGTAATTCAGGACCTGGATTCATTGCAGCCTCCATTTCAAAACAAAGTTCTCTCCAATTTCTTAGGAAAACATAAAAAAAAACAGGGCCTCCCAACTTCACAAGAGCCCAGTGGAAGTGATAAAAAGCCAGAGCAAAAAGTCTAAATGTCAGTCTAAAAAGATTCTAGAAAGTACCACGGATACTGGGAAGAGTAGGGATGGCTTTGGTATTCTTACGGATAACCTAATCTAAAAGAATCTTACTAAGAAACAGTAGCTTGATAGAGCTAAAAGGAAAGACATTTGGGTTCTCTGTATCATGGCTATTATGCATACTACCTAGATTTGCATTTCAGTTACTCCAACTTTAATGTCAATAGTACTTACTATCCACAACTGCAGAGAATCTATTCTGAGACTTGGACTCCAAATAAAATTCTGTGGAGCTCTGTGTTAATGATCCACATATTCACTGAAAGGAAGTGTTTGAAACAAATAAGTAGTCTGTTGTATTGACTTTGGAGCTGAGCTCCGCGGTAGAGAACCAGAAAGCCCTTGGCTGTAAAGCATATTCCATAATGATTATAACACTGAAACTTAGAGTGGGGACATAAGTGAAAGACAGTTATACTACAGTTCGATTATTTGAGTTCAGTTTTGGTCCCTTTAATTGGCTGTGTGGCCTTAAGCAAATCACTTAATTTTATAACCCTCAGTTTCTTGTGTTTATAATGGAAATAATAATTTTCCTGCCTTTTGAGTAGCTGTAAAGGTATGGTGCATTTAAGAGCTTTTCATAGGGGCACCTGGGTGGCTCAGTCATTAAGCGTGTGCCTTCGGCTCAGGTCATGATCTCAGGGTCCTGGGATAGGCCCCGCATCCAGCTGACTCCCTGCTCAGCGGAAAGCCTCCTTCTTCCCCTCCCACTCCCCCTGCTTGTGTTCCCTCTCTCGCTGTCTCTCTCTCTCTGTGTCAAATAAATAAATAAAATCTTTTAAAAAAGAGCTTTTTATAAAAGGTAAAGTACTAGTTAATGTTTAAAAAAAACCCATCGTCATTATTACCTGAGCCCCCTCCACCCAAGAGACATTGACTTTCTTTGCTGTATCGCATATCTCTGAATAATAAGCTCTTGACAAATTTCCTTCCTCTATGGAATTCAAACACTGAAGCCACGTGATACTTCTTGGGTTTCCCCTGAACTTCCTTCATAACATCAGCATTTTTTTTTCACTCCTTAATGATTTTTTTAAGAGTAAAAGAGTATCTCTCACCTAACCACTCTATCTCCTCCCAAACAAGCCACAGTGGTACTCCATTTCTCCTAGGAGTGTCTCAAGTTCACTTTACTACAGCTTCATAAAAGTTGTGAGATACGAAACCAAGAGTTAAGGACGTATTTGAAAATAAGAGAATCAGAGAAAAACAGATGACACAAACCATCCTGTCATGGAACCAAGCAGGCTCCTCTATGCCCCCTCCCCTCAAGAGGAAAAACAAGTCAAAGGAATGGGAATGGAAGGATAGATAGAGGACAGAGAAGGGCAAGCTTTGGTGTCAATGTGGATACGGAAGGCAAGCAATAGGGAAAATTCTAAGATAACCCTGGAGCAGTAGTCCTCACGGCGTGATCCCCATACGGTCAGCATACAAATTCTCAGGCCCATCCAGACCTGAATCAGAAACACTGTGATGGCGCCCACCAATCTGTTGTTTCAATGAGCCCTGATTCACAGTAGGTTGGGAATCATTTCCCTAGAAGGCTGGGCGATGACAAGGCTGGCATCAGGTGGCTTTTGTTACATAACATTGTTCTCTAAAATTCCACTCAGAAGAACCTATGCATTTGGAAGAAGAAAACCAGTTGAAAATAACAGCTGGATTTTATAGTGGATAAATTATATTATGGAGGCAAATACCTCATGAACGAGAGGTAAGCTAAGTCTCAAACTGCACAAGTACCACAGCAAATGTTCACCTTCAGGCACTTTAAAGTACCAACGGGTACTGTCATTACATGGTTATCTCTACACCTCCCCATTATAATGTGAACTCGTGAGCCAGAAACAAGTGATAGGTAGATAGATGATAGATAAATAGACAGATAGATAGGTAAGTATCTTATACTTCAATATACCTAGCATAATATCTTACACATAATAAACATTCAGTAAATATTTGATAAGTGAAATGAATCAAATAACCAGGATGGCATTGGAGGATTTATATACCACCAGGTAGAGGCTTGCCAAACTTAGCAAACAAAAATACAGGATGTCCAGTTAAATTTGAATTT